TGTATATTTGGGATACACTGCACTTCATAAATTGAATTGGTTTACAGTTTTTAAGAAGTTTTTGCTTGTTTGTTTTCATAGGCAATGAGAAAACCAAACAGTCTTCCAGGAGATGTACAGTAGAAATTTCAGACATTGTTAATCGTATTGCTCCGCAGGTAACTGTTACTTTCTGAAATAATGCTCTGCATGTGCAGCAACCAAACACAAGAGTGCTGCAGCATAGTTTTAGTTACAGCAGTTTCATGGTAAAAATTGGGTGTGTAGAAAACTAGTAACAAGTTCAGAAAACAGGATTGAATTAAAATTTCAAGTGTAGCATTGACTGGTTGCTCCGCGAGTCAGAGAGGTTGTAAAAAGACACATTAAGAAAGTGGACTTGGAGCAGCTTCATTTTAGAAAGGTTTACCTTCAGAGTGCAAGTTATTACTGTTGGGATTTATGCCCTTTCTGTCTTGCTGTGAACCTGATGTTCATAGCCCAGAAAGGGAAAATTAAAGTTGTTGGCTTATTTGTTACATTTTCAGTGCAAGAAGAGAACATGTAATTCTTAAAGCAGATCTCTAGTATTTAGCTTGCAAAACATGCCTGCTTGTTTGGCAGGGCTGTTTAACATGTGTCCACTGTTTGGTATATTTGTGAGAAATTATACTTAAGAATTAGAAGAATCATTGATAAGAGATGCCACTGCCTTCCTTGTAAATAGTTACAGCCCTGCCATAAATGTAAATAATGTCAGGGTTTGCAACTATCTGTTGCTCATGTTCTTTTTTTCTCAAAGAAAAAGAAATAAATCTGCAAAGAAAAAGAAATAAACTCACAAAGAAAAAGAAAACCTACCCAAAACTACCCTAGTCATTAATAAAGTTCGAATTACTTTTGCTGGCTTACATGCATCAATTTCTCACATCCTATTGCTCTGCCCCTCTAGACAATTTACCACTGCAGTGTTGTATCTCTTAGATTTCAGAATTCAAATTCAAGCCTGAACTTTGAAGCTCTGAAACAACTTTGTTTAGTTTCTAAACTTCACTTACTTCTGTTTAAAGGTTTTTTGTATATATGAGTTGGATTGGAAGAAGTCAGAATTTTTTCCCGGAAGCATAAGAATGTGATTTCTTTCACATTCTCTGATCTGTAATGCTGCTTTAAATTGATAAAGACAGTGCCTCTCAGTTAGCTCCTGAATGGTATGATAAAGTAAACTAGATTGTTAGCTTGTAACACTAATATTGCAGATTTCATGTAAACCTGGAGTAAATAGTTTGAGCACCAAAACAAAATTATTTCAATTGAAATTCCTGTTTTAAATCAATATAATTAAAGTGATGCAATTATCAGTAAACAGTGTTGCTTAACTGGTATTGTTTTAACTCCTCTCTGTGCCTTCAACAGATTTAATCCAGTTTACTTGGATTAGCAACTTCAACTCATATAGGGTGTGTGTCTAGTCCAATCTTTATCTGAAATCAAATTTCTAAGCATTATAAATCTCATCATTCAGGATGAAAAAGCAACCTGTAATGAAGGCTCCCTTTTAGGAACATGGATTGGTGAGGATGCTATTCCCTGTACACCGGGAGTGGTAAAAGTACGAGCTAGGACAAAGTTAAGTTGTATAAGGTGAGTTACAGTTTCTCCTTGCCCATTATGGCTAGACTTTCATGAAAAAGGGTACATGGTATTTTATGTATAGTGAACCATGTAATTGTAGATTAGCATGTAGAATGCTTTTAACTTTGCACTTGTTATGTCTTCTTAATGGGGTGTTTCTTGGGTTGTACTCTCTAGTTGTTAAACTAGAGAATGAACAGCTCATATGGTTGTGTTGAGGTTGGTTAAACTTTCTCAGTAGCTCTGACCTTATTTTCTGTATTTTTTTAAAAATCCAGAGATCTTAAAATAAAAAATCCTGAAGAAGAACTCATGAAATTGGCCAAGGAATTTGATAAAAATCTAGTAGAGCTCGATGCTGTTCAGGAACAGGAGAAGAAGCTTGGTTGTGACTTCATCCAGACCTCCTCAGAGCCTTTAAATAATTCTAAAGATGCAGTAAATACGAAGAACCTGAAATCACTCTTTGGTGAAGGTTCTGAAATGGATAACACTCTGTCCCTGAAACCAGTTGGACAGAGCACTGGCATCCCAGCTGCAGAGCCCTGTCAGTCCAGCGGTGAAAACTCTGTAGACCTTGAGGCTGAAACAGATCTTCATGCTCTTTTTGACTGCTCTACCCAGAAGTGTAGTGGACGGTTGAGCCAAGGACTGTCAGATATTTCTTTAAATAAAAGTTTTATTGAAAATAAAAGCGCCTTGGAGGAGCACCTTTCTGACAAAATTGAAAATATGCAGCATACCAATTCAGAGTCACATCATAAAGATACTCTGCATGCCGTAGGAGGCATGAACCAGACTGTACCAAAACCTGATAGCCACACATTGACAAGAAAAAATCCTCCTCTGAAGGCACAATTGGTGGCTTCCACTAAGCTTGCAGGAGTAGTTCATGATGACTTTGATGACTGGGATGCAGATTTATTGGCTGATGACTCTTTTGTGATGCAAATAACTCAAAATCCTGAATTGATACATACTGAAGAATCACCACCAATTCCTGCAAATCCATCTGTGTGTGATTTGCGTGATAACAGCAGAACAAAGGCAAGAATTGGTGGCAGTTCAGTAACTTGCCTGGGGAGTGTACACAAATCGAACAGTTTGCAGTTTTCACCCTTGGAACATTCTAGTAAAACCACACAAAATGTTGTAAAATCTCTGTCTTTACAGAAGTCATCTAAGAAGGAAAACTCAAAGGCAGAGACCAGAGCCTTGCATGGCAAATGTGATGTTAATGCAGATAAAATAAATTCTCTTTGGAAAAGTGCACAAAACAGTGATAGAAATTATATTCCTGTTTCAACGGAATCTGAAGTGAAGAATGGAAATGAAACTATTCAGCCTAAAAGTGACTCTCTTCCTCTTTGTCTTCCAAGATCTAATCCTCATAGACAATGGACAGAAAAACCTGGGAATAGCACTCATACTATTTCCTGTCAATCATCCAGTATTTCTACCAATATGAAACCTAGTAATCTAACTAAAGTGGTTAACCAAGCTAATGCAGGTCACTTAAATCAAGTTGAAACACCAAAGAAATGTCCTCTGTCATTTGATGACTGGAATGAACCAAAATTCTCAGATGAGATACTGGATATGTTTTGTGGATCCGATAATCTTTGGGATGCAAACTGTGAGGATGATGAATTGTTGTATCAGGTCTGTGATGATATAGAAAAGCAGACTCAGATCCAGGACGTTAAACAAGGAAATGAAAGAACGAAAACTATACAAGGAGGCAGTATTAATTCCAGGTCAAATGCTGATAACAGCTTTCCAGCAGCTAAACAAGGACTACCTGATCTCTTGACACACAAAACAAGTGCAAAACAGGAGGCTTTCTCACTAAATGATTCCTGTAGGAATTCGTCAAAGGTCACACATGGGCTGGCCACAACAGGCCATGTAATGAACTGTAAGAACATCTCAAGTCCTCAAACTGTGATCTCAGGTCCTTCCACAGCATATAAGTACACACTGATTAAAAGCTGTCATCAAGCTGCTTCTGAAGGTACCACAAAGACTGTTTTGGGAAAATGGTGCCGGTCAGATTCTGTGCCAGCAGGAGAGACTGGTTCTGAAGTAAGTCCTGTTAATGAAGTAAACATTTTTAGTAGCAAAACATTAGACAGCCCAGATCCCTTGTACAATAGGGGAAAAATGCCAAGTAGCAGTTCTGGTAACAAAACATCATTTGTGCCTTCAAAGTTTAAGTTCCGGAAGGTGAACAATTCTCAGGGTGGTCTTCATGTAGGGTCTGAAAATCCAGGGAATCATTCTGGCATTGGAATTACTCTGCGGGATTTGGAAGGAAGCAAGAATCGGGTGAATGTGACTTTGCACAGCAAGCTTGACAATAAGAAGCCACCTTTCAAGAGGCACCTTTCAGAGTCTTTTGCACAGACTACATCAGGTATTTGTCTTATTGTATCTCTGTTACTGGTTTTTTCCTTACTGGAATCAGAATGTCAGAGAAGCTTGTACTGTATTGCAACTTAGAATAGGCTTAAATATTCATCCATTCAGTTTAGGTGTCAGTAAATGTTCTCACGAGAATTTGGAGGTTATTTTCTCCAAAATAAAATTGTCCTGATGCGTATCTTGAATTCCTATAGTTAAGGACTTCTGTTTCCTGTTTTCATTCCACTTCTCTAAATACTTCACGCCCTCTCACCATATACACTAAGACTCACTAGGATCAAGTATAGGCTGAATACTCAGCATAGCATAGTCTTAAATTGTTACTTAAAAATACTTTTATTTGGATACATAGCAAAACCCCAGTTAATGGTGGGGTGGGAAAGAAGGTATCAGGTGATATGGAATGCCAGTTTCTTTATTTTATTGTACACCTGGACTTGAATCATTTGACAGTTTTCAAACCTCAGCCTGAATTGTTGTTTGCTCCTTGGCTGAAATTGCCAGTGAAATGTTTCTGTGTTATCAGTCGAAACACTAACATTTCCTTCACTGTAGAGGGGAAGTCAGTCTGTAATGTGCCATACACTGGTGTTCCTTGCTAGGGAAATGTAGAACCAGTCAAGTGCCAGTCAGTCTTGTTTTCACTTGATCTCATGACTTGGCAAAGTTTTAATCAATATTAATTTTGATAAAACATGCCTTTAGAGTGCACTATATCAACCCCCATTTTCAGCAAGCAGTGTAGCAAAAACAACAAAGCAATTAATTCCTGCAAACTACCAGCCAGCATTATTGAACAATCAGTATTTTATCTGTGTTTCTTCCTCAGCAAAGAAGCAGATGAATGGAAAGTAGCAATTTCGGATGTTAGGGGGAAAGGAGGGGAGAGAGAACGAGTTATTCTGTGGAATGTTCTTGAGAATAAAGGAATGAAAAAGAACAGCATAGATTTTCTTTACAGATGTACAACAACTCTCCTCATCTTAAATTTGGAGTGAAAGGACATTGCTGTAGCAAAAAGATGGATGTTAACTGAACCTCTCAAAAGCTGATAGGGAATTTTTCACGGACACCTTTCTCATAAGAAGCAAAGAGACCTTTGCTTTATTTTCCCAGTTTGAATACTTATTAAAAATGCATTAATTGGAAATTGGTTTATAAAATCGGTAAAATTATTGATATGTGCAGGGAGTGTTCCAGTTGATTCCAGTGAGGTCAGGATTTTATAGTATGGGAATTTATAGTTCTGTAGCACAACATATAAAATGCTATGCTTAGCTATCATGTTCTTGTCTCCTTTGCCAATTTTTATTGCTACTTTTGACCTTTTTTCAACCTTTCCTGTTTTATTTGTGTGACACCTGTACTGTATCTGACCCCTGTGTCTATACCATCTCCATGCCCATATCTCTGCCTAACTCACTAAATTGTAGAGCCCTTTTCACTCTGATAGCCTTAATTTTCTTAACCCATCGCCATCTCCTATGTTGACTCCTGATGTCATAAGGTTCACGTGAAGGGCAGCCAAGTAGAATTTCCTCGAAGCAAATGTCTGCATCCCAGTGTTTTCATTGGGAGGTAGTAATCAGTAGCACTACAAAGGTCATGCATTTTATTCCCCCTTCCTGCCTTGAGGACAGGATAGATGAGCCATTTTTAACTTGGGTGCCTGGTATGTCAGAATAGTGTGCTTCTGCCATAGATCTTCAAACACTAAAAAGAGATAAGTGAAAATACATATTGAACAAACCTGAAGGCTCCTAATACATGTTTTTTATTTACAGTGTCTGTGGTGGAACAAAAAAATAGAAAATGTTCTCAAGAAGAGATTGAAAGAAAGAAACAAGAAGCTCTTGCACGAAGAAAATCCAGAATGCTGGCATGTTTTAAAGATGCTTGAATTTGGGGTTTATTTTGTCTGTGGAGTAAGTTTATGGGACGGAAATATTGTAATGACAGAAGACACTTTTCAAACTCCATTCGCAGCTCCTGCTGGCAAGTTTTCTCTGTTTCTTGATTCAAAAATTTCTTGACCTGAACCATAACTAATATTCTGGTGGTATTTAATCTTAATTAGAAACTACTCATTGGGAATGTGTGATCCAAACTGTATTCAGCCCAATGAAGATTGTTTTGAGTTCATGTACTGTTACATGTTGAAATTGTCTAGTCTGAAAATCATGAGAGCATGAAAACATTGGTGCACACGCATGTAATGAAGGTGTCAAAAACAGTCTGTGTTTTGGCTGTAGTACTGCAACTGTTTTAATCTACAAGACTCTCAAGTACACGCAGACTAAGAAATACTAATGTTTGCTCTCAGGTAGAAGGTTTTAAGCTTTGGTTTAAATCAAGTACAATCTAGAAAATATCCAACATCAGGAGACTAATGGGAATGAGCAAGATTTGGAAAGCATGCTCAGTTTGTCTCCATTACCTGATGTCAGAATTGTACATGGAGAACAAAGAATGTAATATAAAAGTTTCATAAGGTGAAAAAGCATCCTAAAAATTACTTTCTTTTTTAAATTCCTTTCATGATGAGCTGGAAATACCCTGGCTAAGAAAGTTGGACCACCTTTTCCTAAACATGTGTTACTGAGCTAGTTGAATAAGGTACCAATGCCATTTTACCAAACCATGAGCATACATAGTCACCAGGTGAAATCTCAACAACTGTGCATCAGTTTAGCCTTACAGGTTGTACATGGTTTCAAACTAAAGACTGTTAAAACATAAAAATGCAAGGTCATGTCAGCTTAACAGGGGCTGATAGAATTTTTGATGATAGATGGGTGTAGAGTTCAAACTGCAAAAATTGCCTGTGGGTAAGCTGTAAGATATTTTTCAACTGAGAAATGCTTATATGTAAACATGTGACAGTTTGAAAACTGTCTGTAATTTTTCTTTGTAAGTAAATAACTTTGAAAGGTACCAAAGGTTAGAGGAAACTTTTGGTTTCTCTAAGTATGTGCCATTTTTGTAACTCGTAAAATTGTAAGTATTGTATATTTGTAAATGATCATTAAACGTTTTGGGTTTTCTTACATTTTTCTTGTCTGTTCTGGAAAATAGTATGCTGCAGAAACTGGTAAAATGGAGTGAAATGGGAATTCCCTATGGACTTTACCTGAATGTCCTCACTTTGTAATTTATCCGATTATTCCATACCTCAGTTTTCTACATGTGGCAAAAAGTGCTCCCTTTGATCCATTAAAACTTAAAATCCTTGGTGGAGGAACTGGTTCTACACACAACCATTGGCAGTGCAATCCTGAAATACTTAACTATACTGCTTTTCAAACTAGTGATTTGCTTGTATTAACCACCATGGTTGGTGCTAGTTAGGTCATTATGGAATCAGATCCCCAAGTCCACCAAAGCACACCAAGACCAGTAAGTGCTGCTTACAGTCTGTGGTTGCAGAGCTCCCTGTCCTTCTGCTGTTGTGCAATATATGATGAGTTGGATCAGTTTACAGATCTGTCTGAAAATTAACCCAGAAAAAATATTTTCAGCTTTTCAAAGAACTTCACTATAATAATGCCCTCAACAGATAATACAACATGAAATAGCAAGACTTTCTTCCTTGTCAGGCCTCTCATGGCAGTGGTCAAACAGTTTAAAAGACAAAAATCACATGCCCATATGACAAATAAATGTAAATCCCTAGTAGTGTCCATTGCAAAAAGTGTAATTATCCTGAGAATGTAGTTTACTCTGTATTTGAGGGATATTCTTGTCTTTGTGGTGTTCTAGGAGAATCTAAACTATCAGGTAACTTGCCAGATGCACTATTAGCCAAGAAGGTGTCAATGAGAAAAGGCTTCTACAATCAGTATTAAATATGAGTGTTATAAAATTGGCTTTTAAGGTACTGATGCACAAGAATGGCAAATTATATTGAGAAAGATAAAAATGAGGCTTTTGCTAGGATAGTGTTCAGCTTAGCAACCCTTCCTTCCCCAGGATATTTTTCTTAAAGTAATTCTGTGAAGAAACCAGGGTAATTTTTGTTTTCAAGGATAATATGGTTAATTGTACTTATTATTTCAGAAGATAACTAACTGGAAAGGAAGGAAGGTGTAGCTGTTGTGCGTTTTTTAGGATGGTTTCATTCTCTGATGTGAAAGAACCAACTTTTTATCAGGTTTGAAATTAGGATAAATGGTAGATCCATAATACAGGCTGAGCGCATCATGGCCACCTGAGCTCAGCGTGCAAAATTATAGTGCCTGAATGTCACCACTGTGTGTCCTTAAGCATGCTCAGAAAGTTTAAAAGCAGCTTACTGCCCTTTTGGGTGATGCCAATTTTCTCACAATCCAGAACAGAAAGTCTCTGAAGCTGCCCACCTAAAATGCCACCACTGCTCTCCCCTTGAGATCAGACTAAGAATATCCTTGCTCATTCATTATCCTGAGCATTTGTGCTGTAAAGTAACAGTTGAATGTATGACATGGGGAATGCTCTTTCCATGAGGGGTATGGAAGGGCCCTTTGCAAATTTGCCAATTGTAGAAAGACACAAACCCTATTTTAACCAATTACTGTCACTTCTTGCCTTACCCAAGTGCTTTCTATGTGGTGCTTAACCATATTTAAAGACTCTCTTTGCTAATCAGTGTGAAACATACCAGTGTGCCCTTCCATATTAAACTAATCATGACAGAGGGACTCTGGTTTTTGTTTTCCTAAATACCTATTTTTAGCATAAGCATTAGATTTCAAAGGCTTGTGATTTGGTTTTTATTAAACATTACTTTCCAAATAGAAATCAAGTTTTTGAGATCATGGTTTCTTACCTGATGGTGAGACAAACTACCAAGGTTTTTCTGGTCACACCCTGATATCCCCAAATGCCCTACCATAACATGTCTCAGTTAACAAACTGAATAGAATTACTTTTGGGGACTTGCTCCCTCTCCTCACCACTGAGAAAGGAAGTTGAGTGGCAGCATCACCACCACAGAGATTTCACAGGTTATACTCAGCATCCCTCATGCTTCCTGGTGAGTTCTTAGTGACCCACTGATATGTCTCAATCATGCAGACTTTTGTCTGACTGCTTGCAGTAGTCAACAGATCTCATTAGGAAAGTGTCTGCATAATTTTAATTAATTAATACATGTGTACGCATAAGAAGTTTAGTATTTCAATAGCTGACATTTCTCTATGAAGCCACATCTTCCTCTAGGCAAAAGAGACCTGTACAAATAGTAACAACAATCTTGAATACATTCTAAATTAAATTGTGACTGTCATGTTTCATTATAAATTAATTTATGACTGTTTGCTTAAGCACTTGTCATCTTTTCATTCAGAGCGTAGCAATTTTTTACATGAGTAGAGCAATCAGTGAGCTTAAGTTTAAATGTAAATGGAATTCCTGTATGTCCCCATACCTAAGTATAACTTTTATTCCACAGATATTTATGGGTTTCATGATGAGTGATATTGCTCACCAAAATCCAAATATTATCTTTCACAAATAAAACCTGTGGAGGACTTTTTTAATTACTTTAGGAAAGGCAGATGTCAGCAGGTAAAGGATCCATTCATCATGATGCTTCTTATCTGTGCCTAAAATTCTGTGTTGTGGAATACACGCACATACATTCTCACCCTTCCTGTTCATTCTGGTGAGGGATCACGTTTAAAGCATTTCAGAAATTTAGCAATACTGGTTTTTATTGTGTTAGTTGTATCAGATTTTCAGAGAGACCAGCACCCAGCAGCTCGTCAAATTTTGGCCTATAAGGCACAATTAATCTTGGAGCTGCAGTTCAGGCATAGCAATGTAATCTTATACTATGTGTACCACTTATTACATCTAGACCTTTATACCCAGAGGAATAACATAGATGAATTCATTGATTTTATCTTTTTAAGCCTAAAAAGAGCTACAATTTTTCAGGAAAGAATAGCTGGAAGCAACAGATAGTGACCTAAATAGTAGAATTCCAAAAGATAAAATGGAAGAAAATGAACACAAATGCTTCATTGTTTGTGAACTGTATTGTCTGCAACACACTCCAGTGAATCCAGTATTTGTGGAAGAGGCCAAGGCAGATATAATCTGTGGAGCTAAAAATGACAGCCTGAGTAAGTAGCCATCAGAGATGAAGCTAGGGAAGACTCTGGCAATTGTGCTGTAAATCATAACTGCAATATTTGTTCACAGATCCAGTTACTACACATACTGGTGGTTTTGTCAGAATAGTCAGAAAAGTCCTACCTCATAAAGCACTTAAGGATATCTAATGTACTGGTCTTATGGAGCTAAATATAAATTTCAGTGACTATTGTCTGGGTGTAATGTCAGTAAGGAGCTGGCAAACCATTAAGGGCCTGATCCTGCTCTTGCAGCAATTTCCTTAAAGCCCTGGAGGTACTGGGGTGACTCAGGTGAATATAGAATAGAGCCTGTGCATTTCATTATTACAAGTGGTGCTTGTCTTTAGCACATAAATCTAGTAAAACAGCACGGATTTTATCAGAAATTATTATTTTTGTTTACGTGCATTTTCAAAGCTTTTTGGGGATAAAGGTTGCATTTACATATACCTTTTAAAGGCCACAGTTAACAGCTTTCACCTCAACCAATGTAGTTAACAGAGGTGAGGGCGACAGGATTTATAGATTGCCTTTTTAGTGAAGGTTGTCTGCTCTTTGCAGCTTGTCTTCACTAAAGGAACAGCTTGATTCAAGTTTTAACCCTGGAGAATTAGGATCCATGTAGACATGGAAATGAAGCTTTGCATGTGCTGCCACACTCTCCATGAACAGAGGATGACCAAATAAAATATTATATTCTAACTGAGTGCAGCAAGTTAGGTTTGAGGTATTATTCCTTTTTAACCGAGCAGGGTGGGATTTCTCACATGCCAAAATTTCTGCG